CCTGGTGACATTAGGAAGCAATTCATCCAACATAGGTAACACAGCTGCCTCCTCAGGAAGAGTACAACACAGACAAGGTCAGAACCCAGCCAAGCCATGCACCAACCAGCTGAAGGGTAGGGATATTATGCAAGCCAGAAAGCGGAAGTCCAGTATCTGGCACAAACTACAGAAGATAACACAGGACCAGAACATTCCTGACATGGCAACAGCATGTCCCTACCATGAAAAACAGCCAATCATCTCCTCATGCCCTGACTTTGCGCCACCTGACTTGGCCTGGTCTCACAGACACCAGAGTAATTGCACCCACAATCACTCTTTCCCCAGTCAACCTCACCGAGGGCAGAGAAGATCTAGGGCCACAGACAGCACTGAGACTAACTCTGTGGTGAGAATCCTAGGAAACCAGGAATATCAGAGCACATACCGTAACCTTGGCACTTTTCGTTCACTTCAAGTTTCTAATGCTCAAACCAACATCTCCCTAAATGGGGTCTGAAAAGCCTGCCTTGTCCTGAAATGATTCTGAAAAGATAGGAATGATAAGGCCAAGGGTAGGTAGAGAGAGAAGACCTGGTCAGGTTGATTCAGACTCCTGTCTCTAGCTATTAGGGAAGATCCCAAAGGAGAAAATATTGGCTTCTACTGCTCTCAGTCTCAATGGAGTTAATATCTGCTACCCTGAGAGCTGCTGTGGAAAGGAGGGGAAGAAGTGCTCAGATTCATTCCACCTTTTCTCAACTCTAAAATCCAGGACTAGGCCCTTCTGATTCCAGCATGTCCTCTGTCCATTCTGCCACTGTCTTAAAAGTTTACACTCAAGCCCTTGTCCCCTCCCAAGGTGACTATACAATAGACTCCTTTCTCCACACCTAATTTCCACTTGCTACACTTCGTACTCCTCAGAGCCCACTAGGCAATCTTTCTAGATTTGGATACAGACTGGACCTTTCCCTATGAAGCCCCCAACCTACAGGGACAGAGGCCTCCTACACAGCGAGTAGGCAAAGCCTACCTGCCCTGCCAGCATAATGTAAACCCAGGCTTCTGTGCCCTACAGATGACTGCCAACTCTAAGGCTAACCATGCTTCTGCACCATCTCTATATGATTGACTTCTCAGATCTGCTATCTAACAACTAAGTCCAAGCAGTAATCACTCTCCAAGTGATCAAGTCTACCATCTCCAACGTGGCTCAGGCTGGTATGCCATCTCCCGTACCAGCTCCTCACAATAATCGGACAATAATAAACCAGAGAGAAAAGATGGTATGTAAGCTCTAAAAAGTATCAAAATTAGGCTGTCAAAATGTGAAAGAAACCAAAATAACTCATTGCCAAAACATGTGAAAAGAGGGAAGGAAGAAAAGAAAAAGAAAACATTTTCTCCTGGGAGGAAATGCTTTAGGAATACACATCTCTATGGCATTTTGAACTTCATTTGTTTCAAGGATGTAGAAAGATGACATCCCAAAGGCTCACAAATGAGACACTTCTAAAAAAAAAAAAAAAAAAAAAAAAAAAAGATTTCTTAATTAATATCTTCAGGGAAACACGAAGTGCTTTTATAGACTGACTGAATCTTAATAAAATTCTCAGAGAAATTCTGGCACCCGTCACAACAAACACCCTCTTGGAATTTAATTTCCTTTTCAGCACACAATTTTCTATGGAAACTCATTTATGATGCCACCACACCAGTCAAAATCTGCCTGAAGCACAAAAACTTCAAAGTCCCACAACAGAACCTCCTAGGACTAGCTGGAAATTAGACTCATATTTAGTCTCCTACATCTAACAGAGAATCTGCCTGCTCCAAACTTTCCAGCCTGAACTGTCAGCCACACTCAACTTCTCCATCTCCTTCCTGCCCTACCTAGGCCCCTCCCACCAGTCCCTCTTTGCAGCTATAAACCCCCCCAAATTCAGTATCTTTTTCTTGTCCAACAAATGCATGAGAGAAGTCCACAAAATGGGCAAAAGAATAGAAGATATATCCACCTTCAACTTCTTACCAGAAAAAGAAAACTCGTCCTATGTAGCTTCTGGTTTAGGTCTGCTCCTTCCTTTTGGACTAGATTATTCCAGACCCCAGAATATTCATTGTGTATGCTGGGGGAGGGGGAGCTAGAATTATTCATAAGAACAAAAATGTACTTTAAAAGCTTTTTTTCCCCTGCTGGAAGCCTTAATCAATGCCATTATCTGGAGTGCTTGCAGGGAGGGAAAGAGGTGGCCAGCCTTTACTGAGCACTATCGCAATTCACAGGTGCAGACAGCCCATGGAAAATAAAGCACAGCATTGCCTGACTTCCCCCACGCAGAAATCAGTTTGAGGGGACAAGCAATGTGCTCAGGATTCACATCAGACTCTCAAGACTCCTGAACTTGCTCTGCTCTGACTTACATGCTGTTTCCAGTGTCCATGGATAGTTCTGTTAAAGAGCCCTTCACAGTTTACATGTGACTTCTCATATACATACTCTCATGTCATTACCACAACCATATAAGAGAGCTAAGGATTCTACCACTACAAAAGGCCATTGGATTCAAAGATCATCAATAACTCATGGTAACCTGCAGTGATACAGTTGTGTCCTCTCACTTTGCTTTCTCATCAATGAACTGATGATCTTCCCTGCCTCGCAGTACCTGACACTGGAAAGAATTCCAATGATGACTATTATTAAGAAGAGGGTCTTTATCTTCAGTTAGAGTATTATTTATACACAAGCCACTAGAGACATTTTGAGGACCCAATCTAACTAGTCAAGCCTTTATTTGTTTGAGAAAGTATCATTTTACTTCAAACCCGGAGATACTAACTACTATAGCTTCCAAAAAGACCCCCCAAAAAGACAACTGAAAATAGTGTAATCAAACTCAACATGGATTCTGAAAGTTAACAGAAGAAGAGTGTTGGCCTATAATAAAATACCATGGCTTACTCATGAATTGCTATTTGGCCCCAGCCATTTCCATTCTGTGTTGGCCCTCTCAGCATCCAAACATTTGCAGAAGTTTCAGCAAGAGGCTGTGCAGTCTGTAGATGCAGGGCGGGAGAGGGCACATGCTGATTAGTTTTTAAGGTGCTACTTTACTTCATTTCTTGAAAAGAACCAAGATTAGTTCAGAAATGCCACTAGCAGTAGAATCAGTTCGCTACTTCTCAAACCAGAATGGAAAAGATGGCAGAAATGTAACTGTACAAGGACTCCAGCATAAGTCTTTACAGAAGCAGCCTGTTAACAAAATGAGAGACCCTGGGGTTGCTCTTCAGGTAAGACCCATCAAGCACGAAGCCAGCCTGGCATCCATGCCAGGCTCAATGGTAAACAATTAATGAAAGGTCACGTGATAGACAAATTTTCTAAGCACAGCTAGCAACTCTATAGCAAAAACAGAGAGCCAAGGATACCAATTAACTGCCTGAGAACAACATTCACATTATAAATCTAATACCAATTAGTATGTTTTGCTTTTTCAATCTTTCTTGTTTCTCATCTGTTTTCTTTTAAATAGATGCTAATTTCTTTATAAAACCAGATGAGGTCTATTTTGTGTGGGTGCTCTAATCTCATAAGGAAAGTCTTCCAACCCCCCAAACCTCCATCAAATTATCTAGCTCATTTTTTGTGGAGTTCCGCTGTTGACTCGTTTGTTTTTACCCAGGGCCTTGAGCTCTTGCATGGCTTGGCTCCTTGCCACCTCCCAAGTCTGGAGCTCTACTACTTGGGCTGCACTTCCACTTCCACTTTTTTACTGGCTAATTGGAGTTAAAGAGTCTTGGGAATTTTTTCTGACTGGGCTGGCTTCAAACCATGATCCTCAGATCTCCATCTCCTGAGATTACAGGATGGGGTTGCATGCATGAGTCACCCATGCAGTTTTATCTAGCTCTTTTGTTTCTAGCTCACTTTTTACATACCACTTTACAGATAAGAAAACTGATGTCTTGAAAGGGTAAATGACTGATCAAAGGCCATGCTTCTTTGGTAACACATCTAGGCTGGGGCCAGGACTCACTATGAGGCCCACGGACTGGGCCTCCAGCGATCTTCACTGAAAACGACCTGGCATACTGGTATCTAGAATACAAAGTTCACTTGGGATGGAAAAGAAGAAGAAAAAGAAATCAGCAGGCCATCTGTATTTACAGGGCACCGTGCAAACGTTTCCATCGACGACCGGCCTCCCCAGACCCAGAACAACTCTCAGACCCAGCCCGCAGGAAGGCCGGCCCCGCGCCTCCCGCGGCAGCCGGCGGCGGCCCACCCGGGGCTAACCGCAGCCAGGCGCCGGCTTCCCAGCGCGGTGGGTAGGGTGCAGAGGGGCGATTACTTCGGACACTTGGGATTTCGTGCAGCCCAACCCCACCTGCTTTACAACATCCCTAAATGCCCGTCACCCGCTGGGCTGACCCCCACAACTTTCCCAGGACTAGAGCCCTGGGTCGGAGGCGACAAGCAGAGGAGGGCGAGGCGGGCCCGGCGCAGGAGGCGGCGGCGCGCAAGGTTCCGAGCCGCGCTCGCGGGACCTCCCGCTCCACCTCCGGCGCCACCGGGTCCCCGCCCCGGACACCGGGAGCGGCGCGGGGCTGCCCACAGGGCCCCGCCGAGCCCCAGCCCACGCCGCGCGGAGCCGAGCGCGCCCTGCCCGCCGCCCGCCTTCCCCGGCTGGGTCCCCGCGCCGCCCGCGCCCGCACTTCCCGCCCGGCCCGCGCGGGGCTCGCGCTCCGCCCCAACTTTTACCGGCCTCGGCCCGGGCCCTGGAGCGCGGAGCCGAGGGACCGCGGCGACCGGAGACGACGAGCGGCCGAACCCCCGAACCCCTCGCCGACGCGAGTTGCGCGCGGGACCCCGGGCGCCCCGGCCTCGGCCCGCAGCCCGCCGTGGAGCGGGAGGCGGAGCCCGCGTGGCGGGAAGCGCGCGGTGGCGGCGCCGCACCCCCGGGGTCCCGCGCCCGGCCGCCCGGCGGCCCCCTGGCCCCGCCGCCCACCTGCCGCCGCCTCCGCCGACGTCGCCGGGAATACGTGGCAGGGGCCGCCGCTCGCTCGCCCGCCCGCCGCTCGCCTCGCCTCTTCCCGGCGCCCGCGCGGGCGGCTCCGCGCGCCGGACCGCAGCGCCAGGCGCCCTCTGCCGCCGGGAAGCCGAATCCCGCCCTAACCCTAACCCCCCCTCCCCGCCCCTCCACCCCTGCCCAGCCTGGCCCGGCCCAGACCGGCCCCACTGGGCGCCACTGGGCCGCCGGGGACCCGCACCTCCGGACGCGCGCCCTCCCCGGCGGCAGCGCCCCCCCCCCCCGCGCTCCACAGCGCTCGGGGTTCAGAGCCTCGGCTCAGGTGGGGCTTGGATGAGTGGAGGGGACCGAGAACCTGCGTTCGGCTTTCTGTACGTCGCCTGTTTGTGGGGTACCCCGCACCTCCACCTGGGAGCAACGCCAGAGCCGCACAGGGCCCACGCAGCTGAATGCCACTCGGGGATTGCGGACCAACGGCACGGTTTGTTGTTGTCTTAATCGACCAGTTAAAAGCTAGCTCATCTCCTTGGGCCACAATCAACTCACCTATAAATTAAGAATAAAACCTACCTCCTAGGGTCGTTGTGAGGATTGAGGCCATGCACCGCCGTCAAGAGTTTGCCCACCCTTCTCTGTGTAATGTATTATGATGGTCATTTGTATTTTTACTGATCTAACAGGTGATAGCAATCTATGTGTATATACCGCTACCTTTCCACCTGAGAACAATCTTAAACCCTTGTACAGTGGGACTGTCACCTGTCCCCCAAAGTGAGTCAGCCCTAGGGGACAAGGCTGCCCCTATCCCTTCTTCACTAGCCACCCCAGGAACACATCTTGGGGTTTTTGGTTGATTGGTTTGGGAGGGAGGGAGGTTGTTTGTATTTTTGTGATGATTCTAGGGCTTGAACTTGAGGCCTGCGTGCTGTCCCTGAGTTTATTTGTTCAAGGCTAGCACTCTACCACCTGAGCCACAGTTCTACTTCCAGCTTATTTTGGTAGTTGGAGGTGAGAGTCTTATGGACTTCCTGCCTCAAGCCTCAGATCTCAGCCTCCTGAGTAGCTAGGATTGCAGGCGTAAGCCACTGGCACCTGGCCACATCTTGGGGTTTGTTTTTGTTTTTGTTTTTTTTAAGAGCTGTAGAACAACTTTTCTGTAGGTTTTACACACAAGTTTCTGTGGCCAACCTCTTAATGAACAAGTGCTTAGTTTCCTGATTTCAGAAGCAGTCATCATGATCTGTTTGGGGGCCTCCTGTGTACTGCTTCTTCCTGACTTCTCCCTGTCCTTCTTAAACACTCCTAGAAGATTCTTCCTTATCCACACATAAAGCAGCTGTACAGTTGGGACAGGTTAGCAATACAGAAAGAATATAGAAAGACTGTATTGCTCTCCTAGCCACACCCTAGGAGACATCTCCCCCCCTACCCCCAGCTCTTCCCCTGTACCTCCCAAGGAATATCTCCTTGAGGGCAATTGGCAGTCCATTTGAGGTTAGGACTTCTCTCTGGGGGGTGGAGAAACTCTCAGCCTGGTCTGAGACACCTGTGCAATGGAGCCCTTGGCATCTTTAGCCTGACTTTGTGTAACAAATGCCTACTTAAAACACATGCCTTACATCTTATTACGTACTAACAACCATAGGATAGTAACCATGTACATGCATTGATCCCTGCCAAGTTAGAGATACTCCCCAAACCCTAGAAAACTGAAATACTTAGCCATTCTGGCTTTCATTTCTCTTAACAGATTCTCTCTCTCTTTCTCTCCCCCCCCCTTTCATATTCCACTCACCTTTTTGCTTTGCCATTTTTCTTTTCTGGATGTACATGCACACATGTGTGTGTATCCCCTTCATGTGTTGGAGATACCAAGAATCTGGAATCTTTAACCTCCACAACTACCCACCCATAACCACCAGACCATCAGAGGGGCATAAAGTCCTAGCCTGACTCCTCACACCTGTAGTACCTCAGCCCTTTAACCATGTACCATTGAATGTAACACCTTGCTACAATGGAAGAGTTATCAGGAACCCAGTCTTTAAAGGACATCCCTAAAACACATTAATGAAAGCTACTACTGATTAATTTATTTGGCATGCATTTCAGGAACATCTATTTAGTGTCTAGGTGCTACAAGGTTGAGAGAGACAATCATGTACGAGGGAAAGCTTTTGTCCTTACAGGAGTTTGAGCTGTAATGGCTGACAGGCAGACACCTAGATGAATGCTTTGTGAGAGCAGAGGAAGGGAGAAAATGATATGCACCTAAATGTGAAATTAGTAAGCCTTAAAGACTGAATTGGGGTAGTGGTATTGCTGGGCAGCTTGCTTTAATTTGTTGAAACTGTAGATTTTAAGCCACTGTTTAAAATTAATGACTAATTTTGTAAGGCAAACAGAGCCATTGAAGTAGGATTTGGGTTCCTTTGCTTGTGTCAGTACTAGGTCTTGAACTCAAGGCCTCTCATACTCTTGCTTAGCTTCTTTACTCAAGAAAGGCACTCTACTACTTGAGCCACACCTCCACTTCTGGCTTTTTGCGGGTGAATTAGAGATAAGAGTCGCTCAGATTTGGGGCTGGGAAGGTGGCCCAGTGGTAGAGTGCTTGCCTGGTATGCATGAGGCCTAAGTTCGATTCCTCAACACATAAACAGAAAAATCTTGAAGTGGTGCTGTGACTCAAGTGGTAGAGCGCTAGCCTTGAGCTGAAGAGCTCAGGGACTGCACCCAAGCCCAGAGTTCAAGCCCCATGACTGACAAAAACAAAAATGTCTCTCAGGATTTGTCTGACCCAGCTGGCTTTGAATCTTAATCCTCATATCTCAGGTTCCTGAGTAGCTAGATTTATAGGCATGAGCCACCCACACCCGGGAACATTCAGTCTCAATGTAGTGTCAAATGCTCCCTTATTCTGGTTAATGACTTATCTATTGTATCTTTGTGAAAGTGCTATAATTTCCAAATTAGAGTTATATATCTTGTATTGCAAATCTGAGAGGGAAAGTTCACATACGATTTCTCTAGTAGCTTCTAATAGAGCATGCATACCAAGCTGCCCTTATGTGAGCTGCTCCCACATTGACAAGGCCACTAGAATTGGAGAATATGATGACATTTGTGAGCTGATCACTTGTGCCTCGCTTCTTGCTGTCTTGAAGCACTGCTTTGAGACCACAGTGAAGAAATCTGGCCCAACCTCCTTAAAGATGAAAGACCCCAGGGAGAGAAAGGCATGCCCTTCCAGCTCGCAACCATTAGCTAAATTCAGCATCACAATGGAGCCCCAGGCAAGGCCCGCCAGCCAAAAACGACTCTAGTTTTCTAGAAATAAAATGATTGTTGTTTTGCATCACTACGAATTGGGATGGTTTGCCACGCACTAGATAACTGCTGTACACACTACACATAAACAAGGTCTTGATGAAATTCACCCATGAGTCAGTAGTCTTGCCCGCATTTTCTGTCAGGAGGCATTCCATCACCAGTCTGAGTTTAGCAGAACATCAGATTTTATATCAATTCCCTCTTGCAGTGTTCTGCATTGAGTTGGGTACTGAGCCTTATACTGTTTCAAATACTTTGCAACACTATGCCAAAAACAGCTAATAAACCACCAAGAGTTTTAAGGCTGATTGGTTTGCCAACATAAGTATCATAGGGGTTGAATATGTTATATCTGCCACTTAAGCTTAATGACAAGATTATCAGGTGTGTGTGTGTGTGTGTGTGTGTGTGTGTGTGTGTGTGTGTGTGTGTGTGTGTGTGTTGGTACTGGGACTTGAACTCAGAGCCATGTGCTCTTAGCAAAACACATCCAGTGTTCCCCCACTTGAGCCGCACCTCTATTTCTGGTGGGGTTTTTTTTTGGTTTTTTGTTGTTTGTTTGTTTTTGCTTGTACATTGGAGATAGAATCTCTTGGACTCTTTTGTCTGCCTGAGCTGGCTTCAAACCTTGTTCCTCAGATCTTAGCCTTCTGAGTAGCCAGAATTAGAGATATGGGCCACTAGCCCTTGTCAACCAATATGATTATTAACCATTAAAATAGACTCTTAGGGCAGGGCACTGGTGGCTCACACCTGTATTTCTAATGAGTTAGGCTGAGACCTGAGGATCATGGTTTGGAGCCAGACCAAGCAGGAAAATCTATGAAACTCTTATCTCCAATTAACCACCAGAAAACCAGAAGTAGCGCTGTGACTCAAAGTGGTAGAATGCTACCCTTGAGCAAAAGAGCTCAAGGACAGTGCCCAGGTCATGAGTTCAAGCCCCATGACCGACATATATACATGCATACATACATATATAAAATAGACTATTTGCAACTGTGAAAATGGAATGAGAAAACCTGTTGGGGATGCTACTTCTTAGAGGGAAGGGTACAGGGAATGTGCTAGAAGAAGTTAAGTTGGAATTCAGTATAAACGTGTGGAAATGTAATAATGAAATCCTACTCCCTGCATAACTGATATGAACCCATAAAAAGTGTATAAAATGAGAAGATTAAGCTGGCACCAGTGGCTCATGCCTGTAATCCTTGATATTCAGGAAGCTGATATCTGAAGATCTTGGTTCAAAGCCAGTTGGGGCAGGAAAGTCCAAGACACTCCTATCTCCAATTAATTAGCAAAAAAGCCAAAAGTAGAGGTATGGCTCACATGACAGAGCATTAGCTCCAGGACTGGCATGTACACACACACACACACACACACACACACACACACACACACACACAATATTATTGATGACATTTTATCACAGATCATAGAGCATCAGAGAATGAAGGGCAATTAGAGACCATCTCATTTTATAGAGGAGGAAACTGGAGCAACAAGAGATGAGAAGAGCCTTACAAAGCTCCAGGGTCCTGGAACTGTCCCAGAGCAGAAGCTGGGATGATCTTTCAACAGTACCACTCTTGAGCTGTTCTGTTGGGGGTTTTTTCTCTTTGACATTTCTTGCTATTTAAAATCTTCCAGAACTTATTTCCAGATTGGCAGAAGAGAACCTATTTCCGTTATTTTGATTTAATCACCATACTTATTTAATGAGTGTGTTT